TCTAAAGCCTCGGAATATGTCCGAATTGCTTTATCAATCTGACCCGACCAAAACTTTTGGTTTCCTTGTTGTTTCAGAACCCCCACCAAGACTTCTCTCTGTTTCAGTTCTTCTTCAGACATTAGCTTTTCTCTCTTTCTTTTCTCCACCTTCAAATCCCATATTTCTTCCAATGCTTTCTCAGCTCTTCTGCTCTTCAACTTCATATTACCGTATTTGATTCTATGGTAATCCTTCAAAATTATCTGGGTAATTTCTTCCCCTACTCTGTTTCTTCCTCCCAAGCTTCTGAGCTCAACAAGATCGACGAGGTACAGAGCTGCAATGTCGATGACTTGATTTCTAACAACTGGGTCTTTGAGAAGCAACAGAAGACAATCAATAGCCATGAATTGCCAATCATCTGAGGATCTTGAGACGTTGCAGAGACTCCTTAGGACTTCCTTTGAGTTTGCTATGTTTTCTCTTCCTGCTTTGGTTTCACAGAGAGTTCTGATTAATCCAATCCCGGCCGGTGAATTTCGATTCACTAATCCTCCCCAAATCTGACACAATTTGTTGAGGAAATCTTTGTTGCAGATCTTGTTGAGTGACCTCTGTTTGCATGCAAAGCAGTTCAGTATGTAGAGGGACCAGCATTGGAGCTGGCTAGCCCATTCCTCTGCTTTCCTGTTCTCCAATTCCGCCCCTCCATGCCCTCTGGTGAGCAAGTCTCGATGGTACTTCAATCTCTTCCTTCGTTTCACTCCAACGAAGTCTTTGTCTATCTCTGCAATACAATTGCAGGAAATTTCCATGGCTAAATCTACTATTTCTGCTTCGTGTGCAGCAATTGCTTGAAAGGTGTTGTCATGGCCGGCGACATGACCCAGTGCACGAACTGCAGCTCGTTGCTCAACCCAACTCATCTTACCCCTCAAGAGTTCCAGTAGTGCCAGAACTGCACCGGCTTTCACTGTTCTTTCTGCAAAGTCAGCTCTGTTCATGGTGTAGGAACCAATGATATGTGCAGCATAGTAGGGTATATAGATGTTCTGATCTTTAAGAAGCCAATTTTGATCGTTGATGCCTTTCTGAATCAGTTTGGTCATGCATTCAAATATACCAAGGGATGGGAACTCCGGATCATCTGGTTGAGTCATGGCAATGCTCCAGAGCCCGCTCAAGACCAAGACATCTTCTGGATCATCTCTGAGAGGAAGCTCTTTGAAGCAGTGGGCGAGTTTGGCTCTCCTCAAAGACGGTTCTGGCTCCTTCATGGTGCAGAAGAAACAGTAGAGTTTATTGCATGGTGGTTCTTTTGAGGGCATCTTCTCGGAATTGTAGGTGGTTTTATTCGTTTTGTGTGGCGACTCCATTGGTAGAGAGAAAATTAAAGAGGATCGTGAACTTGATTGCTGATGGGGTTTTGGGATGGATGAAATGCAGAGAAAGCTATGCCTCAGTGTTTTGGGAGTCTGGGTGGTGCAACATTAGTCAACTCCATATGCTAATGCAAGAGAGACGACTATAAGGAG